CAAAACATAATCTGTTATATAAAACTGTTATAAAGGTAAGTGTCAAACTTAATCTGTTATATAAAACTGTTATAAAGGTAAGTGTCAAACTTAATCTGTTATATAAAACTGTTATAAAGGTAAGTGTCAAAACATAATCTGTTATATAAAACTTTGTTATAAAGGTAAGTGTCAAAACTTGATCTGCTATAGAAATGTTTTTAATACTTTGTATAATTAGAGTAACGTTTTCCTTGTGGTCTTAAATCTAAACGATCAGAGTTAAATTAACAGTATTTATAAAACAAAACAACTGAAATCAATAATTATGAATGATGTTCCTACCGGTAAGATAATGCCTACCCTCATTTGGCCTGTTATTGGCAGGTTTTCGGGTAGCCCAGTTTGTCCTAATGGCTCTTGTTCCTAACCATTGGCCATTCATTTGAGTGATCGCACTCTCAGCATCCTGGAATATTAGAGTAAATCAGCTTTTAAAACGACTCTTTGTGTTTAGGAACATAACGAAATAATTATCGTTTTTTGCGACATCGTTTACCTTAAGTCAGAAGTGTCATTAATGAGAATAATACATTCATTTTTGTATCACTTTGTTCGCTACAAATTACTTCATATTTGTTCTTCTATACTTTATTTAACCTGCAAAAGAAATAAACAGCAGATATGGAAATTATCGAACTAATTAAGATTAATGCATTACTAATGAATGTACTAAAATAATTATTACATGTGTACGTGACCGAAATTGTAAATACAATGTGGCGCCATCTATTGAATGATACCACAAACAAAAATCCATACAAATATTTCACACTTTAGGTATTAAAGATAAGAAATATAACTACAGTATGTGCAACAACCATTTCTTTATCACAGAACAGAATTTTAAATAAAACTACTCTCCTCAAAACAAGAACACGATGCAATTTGTAAATATAATACTAATATTAGAAGGATAAATTAATACTGTATACATGTACAATAACAATGGGTGAGGACAACTCTCAGAACCCAGTTTGGAGTCAGTTAAATGAAATAAATATTGTTACTGAAAGAAGAAGAAAAAAAAAGGAAGGAAAAACACGACTGCATTACAGTAAACGTGTTACTTTTCTGGAGACACGTGACTAAATTTATTTTTATAATATAACGTGAATAGCTAGATTGCACGTTCAGTACAATTTTAACAAATGTGAAAATTAAGAACTGAATTGAACATTATTTTATGTATTTTCCTGTTTAACTCCGCTGGAACAAGGTTTGTATATAAATATTTTAATAACCCTTTTATCTGAGTACTTTTACGTGATACTTACATATCCAACGAGAGATGGCACCACTACACATGCTACACGCGTTTGAAAGCTTTAATGTAAATAAAATGTGATAATGAATTTCATTAAACTTACCGTTTTCTTCACGAAAGACACAAACCCGTAACCTTTGGACTTGAGCGTCTGAGGATCTCGAACAACACGGCAATCTCTGAGAAAGAAAAATTCTTCGATTAAGCCTAAAAAAGATCAATACTTGTATAATATAACCTAATATTAATAGAAAAATATAATTAGCATGGGGAGCTTTTCCTACAATTTAAACATTTGACATACAATCAAATATTTCAGAGTATGAAAAGCACTAAAAATCGCGACTAAGATTTTTCTCATTTTAATCAGTAAAAAAGTACGTCGGGGATAATATGAATGACAATGCGTTTTATTTTATTTTTTTCTAATGCCATTTAAAATGTCAAAACTACTCACTAGATAGCGCTAGTTGTACCATTACTTTTGGTTATGCAATTGTAATTATAAATAATTAAGTAACGAAACGACAAATGGAAATAGTATATCTCTTGATATTTACATCAACAATTTCATTTGGTAGAATGAAACATGAAAATACATCGATATATCGTGGATTATGATTATCAAAATTGTCCAGTATACTAAGCCTTTTCTCAATAGTATTCGACTGTGATTAATAATAATAATAAAATAAAACCTAAACTTTATTTACGAATAGTTGCTTGTTAACCCTATTGTACTCATTATGAAATATACGGCGGGGGAAACGTTTTCTTTGAATTTCTAACGTAAATAGGCCTACATTACACAAAAAAATGTTTTCATAAAATATATATTTTGGGTAAGTTATAAATGGTTATGTCACCTAGAAGTACCAACTGTTCAACTGAGGGAAAACAAAAATTAGTTAATGTGGAATAAATGTTTTAATATTCAGTTTTAAAATCACCAGAGGAAGGGCGTCCCAGCCCGATACGTGAACATTATTAATACATCTATTTGGTCTTACCCATATTTCTGGTATACGTTTTTTCCATTTTTTTTCGTACCACAGTGTTTTTTTTTTTTTTTTTTGCTGATTACTCAACTTCAACTGAGGTACCAAGAGAAATTCCAGTGTCTGCGTTAGGCTTAGTGACATTTAAAATCGGACTTGTATGTCCGAGGTGCTGTAAAGCTTGTAGTAAACAATGGAAAAAAAATGTTTTATATAACATTAAGTTTTTGTTTGTTTAGGCTTTCTAAATTTCGTGTATTATTTTTTGTTATTGGCCATGGCCACCGATATTTCAGATAACAAAGTTATTACGTATTCACAAGTAACGGACATCTTGGTTACAAAGCATCTACACGGTCAACAGACCAATGACCATAATTTGAATAACACAACAAACGCATACAGAAGAACACGTTACAAATTACGTTTACAAAAAAGTATGTCTGACACCTCAGTTCCCAGGCTATGGCAAGAACAAGACTGGGCGTCAAGTTCCATTTGGAGTAAGAATGACTTCTGAACAAGATTACTAATACTCCAACAAATATAACAGACTTTTATGTTGTAGCAAACAACATTACAGCTGATGTTGCACTGTAGTGACGATATACAGTAAACAGATATTCGGGATGCCTCGGCTGTCAACGCTACCACGTCATTCAAGTAAAAGAATTGTTTCATATCTGTTTTACCTTCAAGTTACATGGTGTAAATTTACCCAAACTTAACATGATTCACGCTTCAAAAAGTTGATGAAAACGGAAAGTCCAGAGCACCGGTTCTTTAATATGACAAACAATCGGGAGTAATAATAAAAACGTTTACAGTCTAAGAACTTGTTCTTAGGCCTAACTTCAGACTACAACAGGACTGAAAAGGGTGATTATTAATATCACTTTCTGATTATCTTTACAGTTCGTCCAGATCAAGCTCCGGTTTCCTCAACCAAACTTAACAATAACAACAGACTAGCTGATCTGAATAGACAAAAAGACGAGGAAAGATACTTCACGTGAAACCAGAGTTTCTAATCTATGACGATTCATAAAAAACAGTAGTTCCAACAGCTTGCCCCTCAACAAAAATACAACATAAAGTAAGGTAACACTATGATGGTCTAAACAAAGCACGTTCTACAAACACGTAATTCACGAAAGTCGCAGTGTAACTAGGTAAGGGAAATGTTCAAAGTAATATTTACTTCTGAGAAGTGACGCCTTCAAAAACACTTCAAACCGTTTAAATTGATTTAGAAACTATCAAACTTTACAGAGTAATACTTTGCCGAAACTATGAAGATATTAATCATTAAACGGCATTGCTATAACGTTTCTGAATCCCTGAAGTATTGAAGGGCATCTAGCGGCAAGAAAAGTCATTAAAGTGCCATTAACACGGCTTTAAACTATGCCAAAAGAATCGAATCTGATACAGATATATATATTTCTTATCCGTCTCATACAGAAAAAAAAAAAAGCTTAGACAAAATGTCAAGTTATATACAATTTCACGAACAAAACACGATGCACAATTTATTGGAAGGATCCAACAATGATCGCTGGGAGAACTCAGTCGTGTCCAGCACTGACAGCTGCTGTCCTGGTCTACTGACCGTTTAATAAGTTCGTTAACTGGCCCGTCACATCGCATTTCTTGGAATCTCAAGCCCATACCCCCTAGCGGGTTAAAAAAAAAGCAGTAGTTTCTCAAGGCAGCTTATGAAATAGAGCTGAAAGATGTCTGTTTCAGTTGATGTATTAGTTAACGCCACCTATTCCATTTGTGAAACTGGCAACTCATACAGAAAGTAATTTACGGTACACATACACCACAGTGTTGCAGAGGACTGGATGAAATCATCTGGTAGGATCGCATGTTGCCTGCCTACTAAACACCATTAAGGTATAATGTTGACTGTACTTCTCGTCTTCTCACAGAATGATACATATATTGTTATTGGTCAACACGAACTTGATATTTATTTCTCAATAAAAACTAAAATGTAAAGCCGACGTCTATTGGTCAATAAGACCATAATGTAAATTAGATTACTAATGGAAACGAAACTGGCTCACAGGTTAGAAGATATATTCACATTCCAAGATCTACACGTACGACCGACTTAAACATTTAATCCAGGAACGACCGTATTAACAATAATTCGCACATTCTCATCATCGCCGTGGTTCAAAACTATCGTGTAATAAGCTAACAGAGAATTCCATCCTACGCGTTCTTATCAAGAAAGGATTTTCACTGTATTAGTTCCTAACTTAAACAGTTTCGTTCCTAATGACTAAAAAAAAAAAAAGGCAAAACGGGACAAAGTTGTTAGTATAGCTCACACCCCCACACTGGGAGGCTCAGGGGAGAGAACCCACCTGAGAGTGGGTGAGAACCACAAAACAATATCTTTATTAACAACTCGAGCGAAAATATAAACAATAGTGTTGTGGAAGAAAACAAACAGTACTGTTAGTCATGGCTGGTTGCCACGGTAACTGGTGGTAAACGAACACTGCCCACACGCAAAGGTGAACAACATTAAACGCTTGTGTATTATTCCGAGTTTATTCAGTGAGCTTAGAAAAATAAACAAAAACCAGAATTGGTATTTGTGTGTAAATGAGACACGATGTTTGTTTTTGTTTGTTGTTAAGCCCAAAGCTGCACAATGGGTTATCTGTACTTTTACCCCCCCCCCCCAAGGGTATTAAAAACCGATTTTTAGCGTTATAAGCTTTCAGACTTACTGTTGAGCCACTGACGGCGGCGGCGGGGTTCGACGTTAGAAAGAGGCACAGAGTAATCATATCGAAATCTTTTACAACATGGCTGGACCTTGAACATCGTATTACACGACAAATGTAGTTAGTAAAGTTACGTGAACAGGAAGAAGAAATAAGTTCACAAACAGTAATTCATTTTCATTTAAAGACAGGTACGACAAACTAAACGATGATTACAATAAAGATATCACCATGAGCTCGACATCCAGCTGGCATTTCTAGATATGGGTAGATATGTTTCACACTCGAGATAAACGATTAGATTATTTATTAAGCTATGAACAAATAAACTCGTAGTTAATTACACAGCCTGAGCGCAAAACCTCTCCAAATTTTCTAACTGCAACCTAATAAGATAATAATGATTCTTAATTAACCCTAGAATTAACGATTTGTTCTATGGACCCTATCGGCTTTACAACATTTGTTTTTTCTAAATTATTTATACAACAAATTGTTGCGGGTCCATGGTTCTTGATAACGAATCATACACACATTAAATGTAAAAAATGTGTAGAGTAAGACCAATTCCACTAAATTATTGCAGGGGTTGTACAATGTATTTTACTTAGGAATTGAGTAGTTTTACACTTTTTTTTCGTCAGTTTTTTTACACTGAATTTTACAATAAGAGAGAGAAAAAATAAGACCCGAGAGGATGGAATAAGTGGGCCCCCACATTAATGAACGGTATTAAAAATTCTCGATTTTAGGAGTAGAAAAATCATGAGTATCACAACGACTTGTGAGGTTGGGAGTTGATTGCATTTTTTATTCTAAAGAAAAACTAATGATTCCACAGTTAACTCAATTTTTTTCACTGAAGTAAATAAGGCGATATTTAAAAGTAGTCTTTGAGCGCTAAGCCTAACTAGTAAAGTAGTCTTTGAGCACTAAGCCTAACTAGTAAAGTAGCATTTGAGCACTAAGCCTAACTAGCAAAGTAGTCTTTGAGCACTAAGCCTAACTAGTAAAGTAGCATTTGAGCACTAAGCCTAACTAGCAAAGTAGTCTTTGAGTGCAAAGCCTAAGTGTATATATTATTTGAAAAGTAGACTTTCAATTTTATCACAGATTTTTCAGTCATTACTACTAATAACCATGTAGTATTGATTATTGTCGATATTCTTTCCTTTTTTTTATTAATCGTTTCTCTTCCACACACAATCACTGTTAAAATTTAGTTGTTTTTTATTTTATTTTATAACATTCTGGAGTATGTTTAAAGATATTCCTGTTCTATGAAAATTCAGGCTTAATGAAAATGTACGTCAATTAAACCACTACATAAACAATAACACCTATCAACCCAACTTTCAACACACAAGTAGCATATAACAATTACTAAATATTCACATTACAAATCAAAGATGCTACAACACAAAAGTTTAGCCTATTTATCATGTTACAATAATAAAAAAGTTAAGCCTATTCACCAATATTACGTTTCTACAGATAGGTTAACTTTTAATGATTCCACTTCTGACGGGAAAATCTAGTATATTTTTCTTAATATAATTCTATTTTTAAATTATTATTATATCTATTGTCAATGGTGGAAAGTTTTATCGAACACGATCGACTTTTATCTATATAACAATTCACCAACAGTTTTGAGTACCATATAGATATATATTTGTTAAAATTTAGATTTATATTACCACATTCTTAACTTCGAACGTTTCTTTAATGACTGGTTTTATAGTTACTATTTAACTAAAATATTCATTTCTCTGGCCTCACTCTGATACGTGAATACTTTAGTCTTAACGTTCTTCTCTTAAAGCGTAGATAATTTAATTTTCTAAACACGGTGAGGAATTTCAGAAATCACTATGGGAATAGCGTGCATGGCATACGACACTCTAAACAATTACCCAGGCACGTGGTAAACTGGAAAATTGAGGCACGTTTATCTTATTGAATAGAAACAAAAAATAGGTTAAAAAATATTAGAATGATTTTTTTATCATATAAAAAGGATCTCACTCAAACAGATGTCTATATAGTTACTTGTTGTGCCTACCGCAGTGACCGAACCTCGAGTTTTAGTGTTATAAGCCCTCAATACAGACGAGAGAGAGAAAAAACTTTCATCATGAAATGTTTCTATTAAAAACTTTTTACCGAATATGAAAAGCCACATATTTGACTTTTTACCGAATATGAAAAGGCCACATATTTGACTTTTTACCGAATATGAAAATACCACATATTTGACTTTT